AAAGAAGAAATTACATTTTTTTGTTTTTAAAGAAAAATTCATTTTATCAATAATTTCAAATGCATTTCTTAGGTTTATTATTGCCTGATCAAAATTATTGCCATATGACACTAAATCATCGATATAAATTATTATTGACTTGTATAATATATTTGAAAATGCTTTGTTTAGTTCTCTTTGGAATATTGCACTGCTATTTTTAAAACCTTGTGGGAGTCTTGTGAAAGTTAATAATCCTAATACAGAGGTAAATGCTAGTTTGTATTGGTCATTTTCTGCCACAGGAATTTGAAAAAAACCCGAGTTCAAATCCAAAGAACTGAAGTATTTTGACCCTTCTAAAGCTCTGAATAAGTCTGCAGTACGAGGTATTGGATATTGATCACATTCTACTCTGTCATTAAGTTCTTTGTAAGATACAACTAAACGATATGAGCCTATCTCTTTTTTCTTTACAAGGAATGCCGGTGCGGCAAATTTAGAGATTACTGATTTTACTATATTTGCCTTTAATAACTTGTTAATTTGAATTTCTAATTCTTGTCTCTGTTGTGGTGATACTCTATGGGGTGCATTAAATTTTGGTTCTTTATAATTCGGTTTCATTTTGATTTCGCAAGGTTGTACATTAGCGGCTTTTATGTTAGAGGTATCTGTCGAGAAAATGTGTACATATTCATTTAGTAACTGAATGACTTTGTTGTGTTCTAATATGTTTAATTTAGGTGAAATCGAGAAAGGTGTACCTTCGAGATCTGTTAGAAATCGTTTTGTGACTTTATTTATTGAATTTGTAGCCGTAATGATTTTTATTTGAAAGTCGGTATGTTTGATTTGTTTATTATCATTAATTTCTATTGATTCTGGATGCGGTGGTCCTTTTAGGTCTAACAATGTGTTGGGATGCTTTCTATCGTGTCTTGACGCCGCGTCTAGACATTGCAGCCTGCAGGGAAGCCGTTCTTTTAGGGATGATTTTTATGATGTTACCTTTTTTTATAACCTTGTCATTTGAGATTTTTTTTTTGTTATTAATTGTATCTTTATTATCGTTATTCGTGTCCCTAATACTTAATTTACATGTTTGTAAGTTGATTGTCGGTGTTTTTTGTATATGAATTATGTTGTTAGGTATTTTATTGGATTTTTTTGATGTCACCGTGCCCGGGATCCAGTGAGTATTTTTGTTAACATTATATAATACTATAGGCGATCTATTACCGTCTCCGTATATTATACCCGTATTATCGTTATCATTATATATAAAAGTGTCATGGTTGTAATAATGTGCTATTGCGGCTAATTCTTCGTCAGACCACCAATAGTTTGGTAATTCGTTTAGCCCTAGCAATTCTAAAATTTCTAGAATTGAGGTTATTTTATTTTTTTTATTGTCATTTAATGCATTACAGACGGCATAGAGTCCACAATTCCCATCACTGAGAACGTTTTCTCCTGGTTTGTATTTAGAAAATGTATTATAGGTTGTATTTCCGGTTATATTTTGTGCATCAATTATTTCTGTTTCAGTTTTTTTATCATTATTATTATTATTATTATCGCAATGTGTATGAATATTATTAATTGTGTCAGTGTATTCTTTTGATTTGTGTGTTGTATCTTTTTTATCTTTATAATATATGTGTACTTCGATATTAGTATTTTGAAATTCTGAGTATATTAACTGTTTTACTATGGACCAGTTGAATTTATGTGGTTCTGAATCAAGGTTGGGCATAGCAATTTTTGAAATGTTGGATCTTATAGCTTGAAGTTTTAAATTATGTATTGAAGCTTTTAGATCTTCGTATTTGGGTTTATGATGATGTGATTCTTTTATTATTAAATGAAATATGGTTTTATTATTGTTTCTTATGGGTATGGTGCATCCTACATTTATTTCCTGTAATGAGAGTTGTGGTCCAGTATTACCATATACTTTGCATATTAAGTTTGTTATTCCTCTGTTCATTTTGAGGTCAGAAGATATGCAGTGAGCTATTGAAAAAGTATCTGGGCAGTTAAATATGCTACCTTTTATTTCCTTAATATTGTTAATATTATTTATACAATTTAATGCGTTTGTGTTATTAATTTTTAGTTGGACATTTATATTGTTGTTTAAGATGATGTTATTATCTTTAAAATCAATTAGAGCATTATTTTTTATTAGAAAATCATTCCCGAGTATAATTGTGCTAGATAAATTTTTTACAACGTGTGTATTTATATCGAAGTAATTATTGTTAATTTGTATTTGTATTTTACTTATACCAGCTACGCATAATGGTTTATTATCGGGTCCTGACAGTTGTACCGCGGTAGGTGTTATTATGTAATTATTTGGTAATAGTTCTTGTCTAATGCAGCATATATTCGCACCCGTATCAATTGTTATTGGTAAGGTGGTGTTATTAAATTTGGCCTCAATAAAAAGAGCGTCGGGTGTAGAGTTAATTTCATTAATTTTTTGTACATGTGATGCTGTAATAGAAGGTGAACAATTATCAGCTGTGTTTAACCTGATATTTAGTTTTTTGATTTATTTAAGTACAAATTACAATTTATGGCCATGTGTCCGGATTTATTACAAATTTGACAAGTGGTTGGGTTTTGTTTATTTTTGAAAAAGCATTTTTCTTCTGAATGGTTTGTTTTAGAGCAAATTGAGCATCTTTTTTTTTGATTATTTGGGACTTCATTTTTATATGCGGATTGATTTATTTGTTGCATGTTGTTATTTGTTGGAGTTTGTGGAAAATATGGCTGGTTGTAATGTGTTGGGCCTACATTCCAATAGGGTGTATTGTTATATGGTGAATTTACGTTATATGGTTGTGACATTTGCGTGTGCCACTGTTGGTTATTAAAATTATTTTGATTTAAATTTTTATTAGGTTCATAAGGATTTTTTTGTTTTGTATTATCCTGACGTAGTTTATATTCATCATTATTTAAAAGTTGACTGAACATTGTCTTTAAATCTTTTATTTCATTGCGTAATTTGTCAATTTCATTCCCATTAACATTTTTATTTGTGTTTATTTGTTGAATTTTGGATTTTATTATTTCTGTTTCATAGTCAAATGGAGATTTAGGTTTTTCACCTTCAGTCATGAATTCAATCATTTCGAATTTACGTACATTATTTTTTAATTCTGATAGGTTTTCGTTACCCATTATACCTATGTATCGAGTTATAGCGGGGTTTAAGCCTTTCATGATATTGCGGACTATTTCTTCCTGAGACATACTACTATCAATACGCCTACACAAAGATTCAGCCTCGTTAATGTATGAAACTGTAGGTTCATCTGGTAATTGTTTTCGTTTTTCTAACATTAAACGGAGCATATCGTTTTGAGCGATTGGTTCAAATTCCATTCTAAGTTTTTTTTCTAAGTCAGTCCATTTGATATTTTCCCCACTATCTACAATATTATCATAAAACATAAGAGCAGAGCCTTCTAAAAAAACAGGGATGTATTGAGCCTTTTCGGATTCTGACCAACCATTAATGATGGCCGCTCTATTATATTTTTTTAAAAATGAATCAATATTATCGGAAATTGAGCCTGAAAAATTTGTTGGTTTAAAATAGGGTTTCTTATTGTCAGTCATATTATTTTTGATTGTGTTATCGACGGAGTTACTTATTGGTTCTGAGATGAATGTTATATTATCTACTAATTTTTCGAAATAGTCGTAGGTGGATTCGCCTTTTAGATATTTGTGGAGCCTACTTTTTAGATCTGGAACTAGACCGGATGTTATTAATTGTCTTCTTGACAATTCAGTAATTAATTTATCTTTATTTAGTTTGTTTATCCAACCCGTGGAGATGTTGTTAAAATCTATGTCTGGAAATTTATAGTTCTTATCTAATTTATTTTCTTGTGAATTTTGCATGTGTAAAAAAAAAGGAATTATTAATAGAATCTTCTTTTCTTTTTTTTTATTCAGGTAAGGGGTTTTTTTTTTTTTTTTAACAAGATAAAGAAAGAGAAAGAGAGAGAGAAAGAGAAAAAAAAAATTACTATTTATTTCAATTATTAAATAATTAAAAATGTATATAAGTGTAAGTATTGTATAATATGTTAAATCAGATTGATTGTCTGAATATTTTTTTTATAATAGATTCGTATTAAATCTAATTGAGCTAATATTAATGTATATTCTAGTTATAGTGTACACATATGTATACATGTATATATAAATATGCTTAGATTTTTTTTTTTTTTTTAGTATTTGTGAATCCTTTAAGATTTATTAATATTTTTAAGAGAATAGAAAAAAAAAGGTTTTGTTTTATTTACGGGGTAAAAGAAAAATAATTAAGATTTCCTTAAAATTTAATTCAATTATATCCCCTTTTAGATTATTAATATATCAATAAATATATATTAGTATATTCTTAATAA